CCCCAAAACCCCAAAACCCCAAAACCCCTATTTGTTGAATTATAGGATTCATAGAGAAATAGTTAAAATATATTAATGGATTAAAGCTTTGATTAGATTAACAGATCTTCTCTCAATTATATAGAACCCTAAAGAATGTCTTAATTATAAACTCCAAATAAAAGACTCTATTAATCAGTAGATGATTAGATTAGAGAGTTAAACGAATGATAAGCCATTCAATCTTGATAAGACTAAAAATAAAAATAGCTTCAATCAAACTTGACAGGCAATAGTAACAATAGCATCATTCAATCTAATAGCACCTCTTTAAACAATAACTAAAATAGTTAGTAAGTAAAATCTGTTAAAAATGATTAAGAATCGCGCCTTATGGAAAAAGAAAAGTAGGAGCTTCTAAAATTAAAGAAATAGTTTGCTTGAGAGCTTAAATGCTTGATTGAAAATGAAATCTAAAAATAAAATTATGAGCAGAGAGTGGTTCAGAAGGTGATAAAGAAAAACCAAAAGCTGTAATAACTAGAGTAGGAAAAATAGCTAATTGAACAGACTAAAAACATTGAGATAAAGGATGGGACTGTAAAGATTCAGCTGAATATGATGAGTAAATAGGCTAGTATGAAGAGTTTAGCTATAAATGACTCCTATATGAGGAGCGATACTAGAACTCATTTTGATATCGGGGGTGTTATGAATTTGGATTAGGAGATTTCTGAAGGTACGAAGAGGAAAGCTGAGGCTTTGTTGAGGCTTAAATAAAAAAATGAGGAAAAGATGAAAAAGGTAGAGATTGTCAAGAGTATTAAGGAACTGGAAGAGGAAGAGAAGAAGGAAAAATATCAGTTAGAGCTAAGTAAAAGTAATAGTAAAGTAAATTTAAGCTTAGATCTTCAAAGGATTCAGAAGCAAAATAGACTAGAGTAGTTGAAGAAGAAGGAAGAAGAGAAAAAATATAAGCAAGAGGAAATGACTGCAAGAGAATAACAAAGATAGGCATCTCTGTTGAGAAAAATAAACTAGGACAGCCATAGAGCTGATATGATCAATGAATACAAGTAAAGGCAATTAAGCCTTAAATCAGAGCTAGATTAATATAAGTAAAATTAGCAACAGGAAAAACTTTAGATCATTTAGAAATTGCAAGAGGAGTAGAAGTTATAATTACTGCAAAAGCATTAGCAAAAGAAGAAATAAGCTGAGGATTTTGTGCAATAAAAGAAGCATGTAATTAATGCTAAGTAAATTATGGTCAAAGATTTTTAAGAGAAAAAGCAGTTGATTATGATGAAACTCTAAGAATTGAAGAAATCTGGAAAAGGAATTGAGGAGATATACAAGTATACGAATGATATTATATTCGAAGAAGAGGATGAAGAGGAATAGATGTTGAATGAAACCTAGAGAAATAGAGATGAAATAATCAGAAATTTGAATACAGAGCAAGTTAATACTCATTGAAGTAGATCTGTGAGTTAAATTCGTAGAAGGAATGAAGCGTAGCTGAACTAAGAAGTTGCTCGCTTAGAATAATCATAAGACTACGGTAGTGGCTTAAGTGAGTAAAAAATCAAGAAGTCTGGAAGTAAATCATTAATCTATAAAACACCTATTTAAAACTCAATCCAAGATATAGAAAACGCAAACTTCCAAGTCGATTTCGAGAGTAATTCAGTAAGCGGAACTACTCACTAAGATCAAAGAAGTATGTCATTAGACCATAATCAGGAGTTGAATAACATAAATGGCAATCTTTAGGGAAATTAAGGTAGAACTTATTCAGATCATAATAAAAATAATAACAATAAAAGTAATCTAGATCAAAAGTATAACTTGTTGGCAGCAAAGAACAAGCGATACTAGGTTTAATTACCTGAAATAAGGCGAAATCTGAATTAAAAGATTAATATAACTAATATTCAATAGAGTACTAATCTAATTTAAAGCAATCAAAGTAGGAATAACAGATATGGGAATGCTAGTAGCAATTTACGATTGGGAGATGTTAATCCTTCTAAAAGTTAGGATCCTTATAAGCCTGACAACTACATCAGTAATATGTTTTCTTAAAAATTCACTACTTAAACCGTAACATAGAGAAACACCAAACGCAATATACTTTCAAACAATTCCAACTATGATGCATATTAAGTTTATACTGGAGGATAAAATAATGCTAATTCAAGATCTAGAATGACTGACCTATCATATTCCTTGTATGTTCCAAGTAATGTGAATCAAAGTTAGCAATACATTAAAGGTTAACTTGGTGACATTCTTGGCACCTAAAATAAAAACTTACCAAGAAAGTAAATACAAATGCCTAACTAATCATTTGAAATCCTTAAAAAGCCAATGAATAGTAATATATAAAAACTAGTCCCTATTAACAGTATGAATATCAAATAAGATGATGTTAATACCAGTTATAATAGTGCAAGTATTATTAATAGATTAGCACATTCAAATAATGAGAACCATTTTTTGATTGAGCTGGTGAGAAAACGCCAAAAAGAAGAGATTTTATCTGTGATTAGAGATGAAGAGAGAAAAGAAAGAGATAGATTGGAGAAGCTCAAAGATCCATAATTTTAAGAATAAAAAAATGAGTTAGAGACTCAGTTTAATGTAGAAAGGCGTCTTGCCTAGTAAAGAATTGAATCTACTATAAAGAGACATGAGGAGTAAATAGGAGAACTATAAATGGAGTAAAGATTGGCAACTTAGCGGGAGATTTAGTAATTGTAGTCTATTCAAATTAAACCTACTTTTACTTAATAGTAGTAAACACCATTAAACTAGATTAGAATTAATTCTAAGTAGAGTTAAGAAAGAAAAGGAGAACTCAATTCCGATCTTATTGGTAATAGAATATTTATTTGATTTATTTTTATTTTACATTAATTTCATAATTATAAGCATTATGGGGTTTTGGGGTTTTGGGGTTTTGGGG